CCATAAGATCTCACAGGACAGGTTAGGTGCCGCCTTGCTAATGAACGCATTTGCTGGAAAATAGATTATGTAATAAAAACAAAATACAACTACCCGAACAAGCCAACGTACTGGCAGCTGTAGCCGCCAAGAGTAAATATTTCAGCCTTCGTGACTTAAGGCTATAAAATACAAAATTTCCAGGAGGTTCAGCACTGCCTTCACAGACATAAGTGCAAGGAATGAATGCTCGCTTACGCCTCTGACCGCATCCTTTGAGAAGTTCTCACTTCTCCCCCAGTATTTGTTTATCCAATTGAGTCCACGGGCAATGAACTGGGCGAAAAGGACGACGCTGCCTTGTCTGCGAAACCTGTCATTCGCTTTGGAAGTGCAGCGTCTACCCAGGTTTTCTTTGGCTCGGAGCGAGCTACACCCCAGGCTTTCTCTGCATCAGGAAGGCGGTGTCTGCGCGAGCGCTGCGGCAGCAAGACTGGGTACCAAACCCGGGCCGCTCCAGGCACAGCTGGTGCCAAGGACCATACGCGGCGGGGAACCCACGGGTGGCTGCTCCGCCCGGCTGCGACACGGGTCCCGGCCCGACAACAGTTGACTTTCCGCATCCGGGAGAAAGAGGGGCGGGGGGCCCAGGACCCTCAGTCGATAGGTCACTTCCCCCTCCCCCCCGGACTCCCCCACGCAGCTAGTGCGTCTCGGGCTGGGTCTCTCCCACCGGAAGAGTGCGGAGAAAGGCTCGGTTAGCGAGGGGCGGGGGGCGGATTTTATTACTGCGGAAGGCGCAGTCGCCTCCTCCGGGGACCCACGACAAAGATGCAAGCTCGTCGCGCTCGCTGCTGCTCTGGCCCCACCCCCCGGCGCAGGAGACCCCGGAAAGCTAGAGAGAGGGGTGCGTGCTCCCGAGTTTGCAAATGGGCTGGACGGGCCGGGAAGTTCTCGCAGGCGGAAATCAGAGGGACCACCCTCCACCCCCCACCCCCGGGCAGGTGGCCCGGCGCGCCCGTACCTTGGTGGCGGGGTCGGCGGCGGCGATGGCCGGATCCCCCTGCGCGCCGGGAGCCTCCTCCGCCGCAAGGCCGCCGGCGCTGGGCTCGGGCTCGGCCGGCGTGGCGCTCCCCGCCTCCGGCTGCTCCGGGCTCCGCTGCTCCGTGGAGCTCCCGGCACCCATGGCTCTCCTGCGGTTCTCCCGCGCCTGGCTGCCCGGTTACACCTTCCCCAGATCGCAGCGACGCGGCGAAGAGCGAGAAGCCGTGAGCCCGCGAGGTCCCAAGAACGCCTTCCTCTCCCGCCGTCCTCCTCCGAACGCGCCCAGACTGCGAATGAACGAGACGCGCTCGCGGCAAACTCCTTAAAAGAAAAAAAAAAAAAAAAAAAAAAAAAAAAAGCCACCTCTTTGCCTCCTCCTCCTCCTCCCCCTTGTTTTTCCCTCGCTTCATCACATGAGCACAGCCCCAGACACGCCTTGCAGCAGCATCTCCCCCCAGGCTGTAGGACCCGAGGCGCAGCCCGAGCCTCGAGCCCAGGTCCAGGCGGGCAGCCCACCCCGACCCCTGGGCGCTTCCCATTGCTCAGTGGGGACGGGAGGAAGACCCACGGTTGCAGGAGGGGAGGGGAGGGGAGGGCAGAAAGCCCCCCGGGGCGATTGGGTTTGCTGAGGTTTATTAAGTGATTGAGAACCAGAGCTGCTGCTGCTGCTGCTGTAGCCCACTTTCCATTCGCCCAGAAGCGAACCCCGGTCCCCAGTAGCTTTCCTGCAGACAGCGTTATCCTCCCAGCGTTAGTTCTGCCTCCTCCCCGGTAGCAGGAGAAAGGCAAGCGCTCCTCGCCTTCTCCGGAGTCTGACCATATTAGGACACCTCACGTGGCCCGAGCTGGGAACCGAGAGGTTAATGCAGTCAGGCCACGGATGAGGTGGGCCAGGCGGCCCCACGCTCGCCTATCATCCGGAACCAGTGATGTCAGGCGATGCCATCAGCAACGCGGGCTGCCCTCCTTCCCTGGGGAATTCGGGAAAGGGAGCCGGTGACGGGAAATGAGCCTGTCCTCTCTTTGAGGGCGTGATGCTGGAGGTACAGGCCACTTGTCCCTCGCGCCATGCGGAGACATGACGACGTAGATCTGTTCCTTTGCCGTTGGTAGCTCTCCATAGGTAGAGGCTTTAAATAAGATCAGCCTAAGTGGCTTGCATTCTTATCCGTCATACTCTTGGATCTAATGCTTGTTATATGAAGGTAGCAGGCAGCCAAGCCATATTTGAACGAAATCGAATCTTTAGCTGGATTATTTGGCGCGTAAGCATGAAGGTGATGGGGCCAGTTTTACCTGGCAACTAAGTGCCTTAGTTTTCACAAATAGTTGGAGGAATGAAGACACTCGGGTTGTCAACACGAGATACCAGATGAATATCCTATACCCAGATTTTGTACGAGTTAGTGGAGAAATGGTGCAAGCGGTTAGTTCAGCAGTGGAGTATTTTGGGCCTGATTAACTGTGGAGTGCAGTATGATGGCATACGATTATCCGGCATAAAATTTTTCTCAATTTATCATCTTTAGTTGAAGAAGTACCTAAAGGCCACTTTCTCTGGAATATATCCCGCAAGAAGCAATATATTTGCAAAATGGTGGGGTTTTCAGAATTTTTAAGCATTTCAACCATTTCAACTTAAATGTTTGCCACTTCGAAAACATTGCAGTACTCACTATGTGCCAGGCACCATTCAAAGCACTTTACATATCTAATCATATTTAATGCTTACAACAACTCTAGGAGGTAGGTGCTATTTTTCTCATCTTACCAATGGCGTGGGGGAAAAGTGGGCCCAGAGAAATTAAATCAGGTGCTCGGCATTTCAGGCAGACACAAGAGCAAGGCCTCTTCCCACACCGAACCTATGTACCACACTTCACTCTCCTTCTGTAGAAAGTGTTCTCTCCTCTCAGGGTTGCTCGTGAAAAGTGGCATTTAGGCCTCACCTAAGATGTTAAGGGCTAAAAATGCTGTTAAAGCCTATCTGAGAAGGACTAGCGTCAGCGCGTAAAAAAAATGTATCAGTAAGTAGTACAAACACTATCAAAATGTCCCATTCTGTGAGATTATACTTATTCCGTTCTTGGGAACTTCTTAACAAAGCTTTTCACATCTCCTGGCTTTTAAATTTTCAGATAAAGATTGCAAGGCCAAAGATTTCAAGCCAACAGTATACAAACCCACATACTGAGAAAGACACGGCCAGTGTCTGCTTAGTTTAGCAAATGCTTGCTTTATGTTTATTTTCCAGGCCATGAACACGCTCACAGTCTGATTTTTTTTTTTTAAGTAAAATCTTATTTTAAGAAATATGCACATTCTAGTATTCCCTAATCTGCCTGAAACAGCTCCCTGATAAGGAGGTATTAAGAATAACAGGCTCTTTTGTAAATTCACACAAGCACCTTTGGTTTCTCAACTTTTCCATCCCTGCTTGTAAACTGGGGAGTTACTCTCCATGGACTTATTTTTGTTAAGAAGAGTAGTTATGCTATTTGTTATTCCTAGCAATGACATGTCCCAACTTTCTGAATATGTTATTTAGAATGTTGAGTAGAATAGGGGTACCTGGATGGCTCCGTTGGTTGAGCATCCAACTTCAGCTCAGGTCATGATCTCACAGTTTGTGAGCTCAAGCCCCACCTGGGCTTGCTGATGTCAGCCTGTCAGCTCAGAACCCTCTTCAGACCCTCCATCCTCCTCTCTCTACTCCTGCCCCACTTGCGCTCTCCCCAAAATAAATAAACAACAACAAAAAAACCAACATTCAGGGGCACCTAGGTGGCTCAGCCAGTTAAGCATCTGACTTCGGCTCGGGTCGTGATCTCCTGGTTCATGAGTTCAAGCCCCACCTCAGACTCTGTGCTGACAGCTCAGAGCCTGGAGCCTGCTTTGGACTCTGTGTCCCTCGCTCTCCGCCCCTCCCCTGCTCACACTCTGTCTCTGTCTCTGTCTCTCTCAAAAATAAACATTCAAAAATTAAAAATAAAAGAACATTCAACAGAAGATATGCCATTCAGAACATTACGAAGCTGATGCATTCATTTCTTTCTTTCTTTTTTTTTTTTTAAGATTTTATGTTTTTAAGTAATTTCTACACCCAACCTGGGGCTCGAACTTACAACCCCGAGATCAAGAACCACATGCTCTACCCACGGAGCCAGTCAGGTACACCACTCCTTTATTTTTCAACACATATTTATCGAGTGCCTAGTAGGTGCCAAGCACAGAGTTACTGCACTTCCATTACTGTGCTTTCCACTGGAGCTTCTAAATCAAGTCGCCAAGGTTTTCTTTTCTTGGGTTTCGGAGACTCCTTTAGAATTGCTTGGATGAGTGTCCATGACAGCGAGGAAGGCCGCTGTTCTCAGTTTTCCATTTCTCGGGCCAAGGTTGTCAGTTACCCCGATTTGTCGCCAGCAGCCCGTTTCTCCTCCAAACAGCAGGACGCAGGTGTCCCACACATCCTCCCCCATGGGGCAGCTGACGTTGAGTCGTTTCCCTGTGAGAGTTGATACTCTCATAAAAACAGCTCGAGATTTCTCCAAAACAAAGAGACGTGGCCCGTACAGCAGGCTGAACTCGTAGGCTTCACGCTCGCTTCTCCAGAAAGACAGGTCACACGAGATTTACCCATAAAATTTAAAGCCACAGCTGGGTGTCTGGTGCACACACCAAAACATTTTCAAGTATGTTTTAAATGAATTCACAAACGTGAAACATTTTATACCTGAGTTAATACAACTCCTTGGAAAAGCAATAATAATTACAAATATTATAACAATTTAAAACCAACACTTAACTCTACCCCAAAGATTCATTCTCTAGCTACAAAGCCTTCAGGCAACTTCACTTAGAACATGGGAACTCTGGGGCGCCTGGGTGGCTCGGTCAGTTAAGCGTCCGACTTCGGCTCAGGTCATGATCTCACGGTCCGTGAGTTCGAGCCCCGCGTCGGGCTCGGTGCTGACGGCTCAGAGCCTGGAGCCTGTTTCAGATTCTGTGTCTCCCTCTCTCTCTCTCTGCCCCTCCCCTGTTCATGCTCTGTCTCTCTCTGTCTCAAAAATAAATAAACGTTAAAAAATAAAATTAAAAAAAAAAAGAACATGGAAACTCTTGGGGCATGTGGGTGGCTCAGTCGGTTAACTGTTCAACCGGGGCTCAGGTCATGATCTCGCGGTTCATGGGGTCGAGCCCCATGCAGGGCTCTTTACTGACAGCTCAGAGTCTGGACCCTGCTTCGGATTCTTTTTCCCTCTCTCTCTGCCTCTCCCCCACTCATGCTCTGTCTCTCTCTGTCTCTCAGAAATAAAGAAACGTTAAAAAAAATTTTTTTTAAAAGAACATAGAAACTCTTGGGGCACCTGGGTGGCTCAGCTGGTTAAGCGTCTGACTCGGTTTCAGCTCTGGTCGTGACCTCACATTGGTGGGTTCGAACCCCATATTGGGCTCTGTGCTGGTACCATGGAGCCTGCTTGGGATTCTCTCTGTCGCTCTCTCTCCCTCTCTCTCTGCCCCTCCCCTACTCACACTGTCTCTGTCTCTCTCAAAATAAATACATAAACTTTAAAAAAAATTAAAAAAAAAAAGAACATGGAAATTCTTCACTCTTGAAACTACCTCTTATCACTTCACTGTATTCGCTAAATAAGAAGCCTATTTTTCTGACTTAATTGCTTACATCAAGGTATCTAAATCATCAAAGAACCCAACTCCTACTCTCTTCTCTTGCATTTGCAAATTATAAACTAGAAAACTATAAGAATTAACAATTTCATTTTATTCATGACAAATAATCCAATATTCATACAGAAGCTATGGAAAAAGTTCAATATACAGATGATGTTCAAAGGCCAACCACATGTAGACATACATTATACATACAGGCAAATGCCATTCTTCCAAATTAAAAAATTTTTAGTGTTTACTTTTTTTTGAGACAGAGAAAGACAGAGTGTGAGTGCAAGGGAGCCAGAGAGGGAGGGAGATACAGACTTCAAAGCAGGCTCCAGGCTCTGAGCTGTCAGCACAGAGCCCGACATGGAGCTCAAACCCATGAACCGCGAGATCATGACCTGAGCCGAAGTCGGATGCTCAACCGACTGAGCCACCCAGGTGCCCCTATTCTTCTAAATTTAAAGAAATCTATCGCTTTGGGTTAACTATAAAGCCAGATTTTTGTATATCAGTTTCATTTACCAAGATTTGAGATTGGCTCTTGACCCAAATCTGAGATTATGCCAAAATAACAAAAAGGGCAGTGGGATGGAGAGGAGTTAATCCTTTCTTTTATGTATATA